GGGACGTGAACCTGCAACCTTCTTGCTGCGCACTTTAAAACCCTGGTTCCATTTTTTGCCGGGTGACGTCACGTAGCTACGTCCATCTTCTATACAGTTTGTGTGCATGCTCTTCTTCACGGAGCTCCCGCGGCCTGCAATGCAGGTCTCAACAGGCAGCAAGATTCGGTAGAACACTGGCTCTCAATCGAAGATTTTCATCGATTCTATGCAAAATCATCGGCTCATTTGCACATCAGGTACCGCTAGCTGGCAACACTCATCGCCTCAACCGTAAGCATGAGCCAAAAATGAGGACTGGTTCGTTTGTTCGTACGACGACGTGTCTGGCGTTATTGCTCCTGTTAATACTAACGAGACAAATAAAAGGTACGTGGCTTTCATTTCTTATTCTTTTGTTTCGATGATGCTCTTCTGGTCGCGTGATGCTGTGAGTGGTCAGGCCGAAACAACAACTGTTCCGTGGTTGTGAAGCACTTCGTCTAACCTGCATCGCTTCTACTTTTTCCTCTTTCTTTTTCTTTTTTTTTCTGGCAATAGGTATTAACATTTTTTGGCTTGAGGACTTTTGCAGAAAGCTCTTTATCCCAGTTAGGTAAAGATAGAAAGATATTCATAGATTCGCGGTTCCCGTGTCAATAAGTAATTAACGGAACATTGCTTTCAGAAAAACAACACTTATATCTGAAGCCAGTTATGTAGACTGCAAGCTACAGCTCGATTTTAAACATTACAAGCCGCCCTTCGAACGCGACGACTTCAGTTGACTCCAACGCGCTGGCGGCTCTGGCTCGATCGAGCAGGGACCGTCTACAAAGTGCAATACTGAAGAGAGTGTTGCCAAGGAATAGTGTAGGGTAAAGTAAATCAACCAACACAACAATCCATCCAGGCAGGTTATACTACCATAATTATTTGGGGAAAATATGGTTTTATGTAATTTTTATGAATATTTCTGTCATAAAATGTGTAATAACTTTGCCATTAAAGGTTGGAATAGTACCAAAATCCCCTCACACACAATGGAGATCTTTTTGTTTATACTACAACAATTATTTGGGGAAAATATGGTATCATGTAATTTTTATGAATATTTATGTCATAAAATATATAGTAACTATGCTATTAAAGGTTGTAGTAGGACCAAAATCCCATCACATATAATCGAGCTCCTTTTGTTTATACTACAACAATTATTTGGGGAAATTATGGTTAAATGTAATTTATATGAATATTGCTGTACATAAAATTTCAAAAAGTACACTATTAAAGGTTGTAATATACCTTTAATTACCTCACAGTGATCATAAGCTATTCACATGGGCGCCTAATTGCCTTTGATCATTGCCTTGTCAACCAATTAGAAGAATGGACTTTACCTGACTCTTCATCCCTCGAGCCATCAAACTGTTCAACTCTTATTATTGTTATTATTATTATTATTATTATTATTGCTAATATTGCACCGTGCTGCTACTGTTATTGTGTAATGTATATATACACATATATATTTATTTATATACCTATATANAGAAACAAAGTGAGAGGAGCAGGTTAGAAATTCACAATGCAATGCATGAATGTTGAATGAAAAAAATGCTCCAAGCTCATTCATTTATTGTAAAGAGGGGGATGCATTATTTGGCAGGCAAGAGTTTGACGCTGCCAAGATTTGCATGCAATGTTTTTTTTGGCCAAGGTGACTTCTACATATATATAATTCACCTACCTCTAATTTGTGCTGCATCAGTTGATCTAAAAATGTCCATAACAGCAAATAAAGGGGGGGATGCATTATTCTGCAGGCATGCAAATCTAGGCAGCGTCATCATGTGGACAGCCGAATAATACATACTCATAGACTGTATAAAAGATAGACGTAGCAACCAGCCCTGAAAAATGAAGCCAACCCGGAAGTGTCAAAAACGTGCAATATCACTACGTCCGCTAGTTGCTGGCTCCAAAAAGCCCTGGCTCCCATAGACTTGAATTGGAAAAGAAGTGATCACAGATCACAAAAGATCGCATTCCTACAGCTCAGGATTTTTTTCTTATTAGTTTTCATAGTCAAATCCAGAGATCAGGTGGCCAATCTGAAAATAAATCAAGACTGATTTTTTAAAAAATCGTCAAAAGTTTGCGGGGCAAGGGGCGTGGCTGGCTTGATTGACAGTCAGCAGCAACCATGCAGAAGAAGCCAGCAGAAGGTGGTAAATTTAATCTTACTTAAATTAACAAAAATTAGAGACAAAAACAACCATAGAAAAGCACATAACAAACAACAAGTGTACATACACCAAA